ATGAATGGTTCAGGGTAAGTATAGGGGGTATGAATGGTTCAGGGTAAATACAGCAGTATGAATTTCAAAGAGTAGGTAAAGGAGGTATGAATGGCTCAGGGGTAAATATAGGGGGTACGGATAACTCAGGGATAAATGCAACTCTCTGAGTGTCCTGGGTAGAAAAGTTAACACTTCATAAATTTATCTTTAGTATAATTTTAGTGACGTGTGAATGAGGTGGCCTTAAATCTCTTAGGCATCCACCTTTTACACTGTTTCATGAATACTCGGACTGATGTTTGTTTGGTACAGACTGAGTGACCTCACACTTTCTTGTGTTTAAATCCATCTGCCAAGTTTTGCTCATTCAGCTAATTTGGTTCAAAGTTTCTTTATTGTGTTATCTAAGTCATAAACAAGTATGGTGAATAGTTGAGGCCCCAACGTAGACAGTTGTGGGACACAACTAGTAACTTACTTCCAATCTCATTACACACTATTATCTACATTGGTTAGCCAGTAAAAGACAAGACAATCTTCTGACCAAGTCAATAATTTCCCTTCAAATTCACAAGCTTTAGTTTTAGCTAACACCAGTTTAGGATATTGAATGAACACAAGTGAATGAAGCTAATTTACAGGAGAGCCTTGATCTAATGGAATGACAGAATAAGTTCAAGGGGCCGAATGGCTTTCTGTTCTGTTCCTAAGGGCCATGTTAAACAGTGAGCCTTCCTGCTTTGAGGCAAGCAATTGGTTAGGCTCTTTGATGGTCACTGGCAAGGCCAGTATTTGGTTGCCAACCCTAATGACCCATGAGCTGAGTGAATCACAAGGGCATTTCAGGGTCACCCACATTGCTGGGGCTCTGTGGCAACACAGGTAGGGTAAGGATCCAGACGGGCTTTCATAACAATCTAGTACCGTTTTGTGGTTACCTCAGTGAGGACGGGATTTCAATTCTTGATTTATTGATTGAATTTAAATTCCCCAACTCGTCATCATGGTGGGATTTGAACCCATGTCCCCAAAGCATCAGGACCTGGGTCACTGCCACTACACCACTGTCTCCTCTCCTTTCTTCCAATTAAAGCTGATGCAAGATCAACCCAGAAAGTTTAGGATCGATATCTGCATCCTGTTCCAACCATATTCTACAGCAAAAATGGGGTAATGTTGACTCTTCTGAGTTTATTTAGATCATAGGTATTCATGCATTCAAATGGACCCTTCAAATGATCTTTTATTCTTTTACAGTGAAGGACTTGGACACTGAAAAATACTTCCATTTGGTGAGTGCCTGTTTACTTACTCTCACTCTGAGTAGCTCAGAGCCTTTTGCTTGCCTCTGCAGCAAACTCTAATCCTGTGCACCATCCCTGGGTGACAAGCAGACAAAGTGGAGATCCCAAACAGGAGGAACACTCCTCCTTACCAGCTGGCCCAATAGGTATCTGCTCTTCATGTGGGGAATGGAATGGACTGGGCTTCACTTGGAGAATCCACCGTCGCTGATACATGACGATCTCAATCCCCAGTGCTCTCATTTGTTGGGATTTATAGTTTGACTGCAGCTGAGCTCGGAGTGATGAATTGAAATCGGATTTCTAATGTTGTCTGATTTTGATGGTGGGTGGCTGTAGCGCAGGCTGGAGGAAGCTTTGATCTGAATGTACCTGAACTGAAGACAACTTTTAATGCAGCTAGTAACATTTGATTGATTGATTTATTGTCACGTGTACCGAAATACAGTGAAAAGCTTTGTTTACGAGTGGTACAGGCAGATCACAGCAAGCAAAGGATGTACAGATCAAAAAGGCTTAGAGGCATGCAGGTTACATTGCAGGTTACATTATTTGAGGCCAGAGTCCAATCATCAGTCTGAAAACGGCCAGAAACAAGCTGTTCCTGAACCTGCTGGTGCGAGTGTTCAGGCTTCTGTACCTTCTGCCTGATGGAAGAGGTTGTAGGAGGTCATTACCTGGGTGCGATGGGTCTTTGATGATGTTGGCCGCCTTTCCGCGGCAGCAAGCCGTGTAAGTAGAGTCCATGGATGGAAGGTTGGCTTCTGTGATGGTCTGGGCTGTGCACACCACCTTCTGTAGTTTCTTACAGTCCTGGGCAGTGCAGTTGCCATACCAGGCCGTTATGCACCTGGACACTATGCTTTCAATGGTGCATCTGTAGAAATTAGTGAGGGACATTATTGATACCTGAGGAAGAAGAGGCGTGTTGTGCCTTCTTGACTGTCGCATTTACGTGGGAAGTCCAGGACAGGTTGTCGGTTATTGTCATTCTGAGGAGCTTGATGCTCTTCACTCTCTCAACCTCAGTTCTGTTGATGTAGTTGGGGACCTGTTCTCCTCCTTTCTTTCTGAATTTGATGATCTGAAGTCTTTCTCTAAGCAAACCCCACCCCCAACCGTACCATCTCCTGCCCCATCCTCACCCTACTTCAATCCACCTTGTCCCCCCTCACCCATTGCCATCCTGATCCTCTTTGGTCTATCCTGAACCATGTCATTATTGAGGTGCACTCGGTTCCTGATCCATCAAAACTTTCCCTTCCTCACAAACTAGGTCCTACCAAATGATGAACTTGTTGAAACAAAGAAATCTCACAAGCACAGTCACCGCAAGAAAGTTTTACCAGAGATCTACCTGACCAGGCTGCTCTCCACCAAGGTATGGTACAGAGGACATGAGAGCTGCTGCACAACTCACGCAGAGTCCCAGACAACGATTGTGTCTGTGAGTGTGTGTCTGTGTGTGAGTGTGTGTCTGTCTGTGAGTGAATGTCTGTGTCTGTGTGTGTGTGTGTATGTAACAGAGAGCATGTTGGTACCTGTGTTATGTATACATGTGTAAGAGAGAGTGTGCGTGTGTGTGAGAGAAGGGGATTGTGTATCCGTGTCAACGTTTACAAGCCTGTTTACATTGGGTTTCAGATGTGGAAGTGCAGTTAATGGTGGATGTGAATTTCCAAAATCCTCAGGCCCCTCACATCAGCTCAAGTGCTAACACTGCATCCCTGAAAAACATAATAAATCTAGATTGGAAAAGCTACTCCCAGAGGTTTTTTTCTCTTGGAGGATCATGAGTCTTTGGAGCCCTCTTGCTCAGAAGGTGGTGGAAGCTGGGCTTTAAATATTTTAAGGTAAAGATGGATAGGTTCTTGATAAGTAAGGGTTGCATGTGGTGAGGAATGTGGATAAGAGGTTATAATCAGATCTTGTTCAATGGTGGAACAGCCTCATGTGACCACATAGTCCACTCTTCAAATTATAGTTCATGTTGCCCCTTCCCATTCAATGGTGTTACCGCCACTATCAATATCCTGGGGATTACCATTGACCAGAAACTCAACTGGACTCACCACATAATCACAGCTGCTACAAGAGTAGACCGGAGGCTGGGAATACTGCAGCGAGTAACTCACCTCCTGACTCCCCAGAGTTTGTGCACCATCGACAAGGCATAAGTCAAGAGTGTGATGGAATGCTCCCCACTTGCCCTGGATGGGTACAGCTCGAACAACACTCGAAAAGCTTCACACCATCCAGGACAAAGCCCTTGGAAATACATTACCGTTCCTTAACTGCCTTTCTCCCCATCCAGACAACCCTCATTCCCTCACACTGATTCAGTTCCTACTGTTTCTAGGGCACGCTGCAGAAGTTCCTGGATGATTTGTTCCGAGCTGTGCTCAGTATCCATGCAGTGAAACCTCCATTCGCAGTGAAATATTTCTTTGATTTTCTGGAGGAGCAGGCTGAGAAACGAGGCATCACTGACCCGGACACCCTGCACATCTGGAAAACCAACAGGTGAATGAGTAACTTTACATCGGTATCCTGTTCATTCATACGCATTATGGCCATTAGAGTATCACTGCTCTGTTGATATGTGGGGAATTTGGACTCATACAGAAGCAGAATTTGAAGAATTCACTAATCTCACCAACGATCATCATCATTCTGTTAAGTCTAAGAGAAAGCGATCATTTCCCAGACATGACATATTTAAATTGGTACAAGATAACAAACATAACTTATCAACAAATGGAGTCAAGCAGCATCAAAACAGGCCCTTTGGCCCACCATGTCTATACCGACCAACAAACACCAAACTACACTAAAACCCATTTCCCTGCACTTGGTCCATAGCCTATTATGCGTTGGTTTTTTAAGTGCTCATCTGAATGCTTCTTAAATGTTTGGCATGTCCACTTACCACTTTTTATAGATGCATACATGGATACGTCACAACATAGTGTGGCAACTGCTCTTCCCAAGACCATAAGAAACTACAGAGAATCATGAACCCAGCCCAGACCATCACACAAACCAGCCTTCCTTCCATTGGCTCTGTCTTTACTTCTCACTGCCTCGGGAAGGCAACCAACATAATCAAAGATCCTACTCTCTTCTACACTCTTCTGCTAGGCAGAAGATATAGAAGTTTGAATACACATATGAACATATCCAAGAGCAGCTTCTTCCCAGCTGTTATCAGACTTTTGTACAAATCTCTCAAATGTTAATGTTGATCTCTCTCTCTCTACACCTTCTCTGTGGCTGTAACACTGTATTCTGCACTCTGTTCTGCTACCCTGATACACCTTGTTTGGTATAATCTGCCTATGGAGCACACAAAACAACACTTTTTCACTGTATCATGGTACACGTGACAACAATAAGTCAAACTCAAACTCGAACCTTATTGTTACGAGAGTACCTGACACCACCACCCTCTCAGGCACACGTTCCATGTTTCTACCATCCTCTGGGCCAAAAAAAGATTTTCCTCAGATCTGCTTAAAACTCTGTCCCTGCCTCCTATAATTTTGCGTGCCTCAATCAGATCCACCCCTCAGCCTCCTCTGCTCCAGGGAAAACAAACCCAGCCTATCCAGCCTCTCCTCATAACTGAGAGTTCCCATCCCAGGCCACATCCTGGTGAATCTCCTCTCCAGTGCAATCACGTCCTTTCAATAGTACGGTGACCAGAACTGCACACAGTTACTTCATCTGGTTTTACAACCAATGCTTTATAAAGTTATAACAAGTTTTCTTTGCTCCTATATTCTATGCCACAGCTAATGAAGCCAACCATCCCTTCCTCACCATCCTGTCTACTTGTGCTGACAACTTCAGGGATGCACTAAGGACCTACAGTTCATTGTGTAAAACCTTCCCTTATTAGACCTCCCAAAATGCATCACCTCATATTTATCAGGATTAAATTCCACCTACCATTGCTCTGATCAATATCAAACGAAAGCCTGAGACCATCCTCCTCACTATCAACAACACCACCAATTTCTGTACATCACGAATTATACCTTCGATATTCATATTCAAGTCATTAAATCCATGCTGACTATCCATGATCAATCCCAGCTTTTCCAAGTGTTGATTAACCCTGTCTCTCAGAATTCTTTCCAATAATTTCCCTACCACTGACGTCAGAGTAACCGATCTGTAATGACCTGGCCTATCCCTGCTGCCCTTCTTGAACAAAGGGACCACGTTAGCTATCCTACAGTCATCTGACATTTCACCTGTGGCCAGTAAAGTGTTAAAAATCTCCAACAGGCCCCCAGCAATCTCCTTCTTTACCTCCCACAGTAGCCTGGGATACACCTCCTCAGGCCCTGCGAGTTTATGCGTGCTAAAACATCTAATACCTACTCCTCATTAACCTTAATGTATTCTAGAACCTCACCATCCCAGCTGGAATCCCCACCTACAGTATCTTGCTCCTCTGTGAATACAGATGAGAAATATCCAGCTATGACCTCACTCAAGTCCACTGGGCTCCACACACAGTTTACCCCTTTGGTCTCTAATAGGTCCCACCCTTTCCCTGTTAATACTCTTACTCTTAATATACTTCAAAAATGCCTTGGGGTTTTCCTTGATCCAATCTCCCAAAAATGTTTCATGGCCCCTCTTTGTCCTCGTAGTTTATTTTCAAGCACCTTTCCCCCCCCCGCCCCCCACCCCACACACTCTCGCAATACTGTTTTTAATGCACTACACCTGACATATGCTTCCTTCTTTTTCTTTATCAAACTCTTGATATCCCTAGATATCCAGGGTTCCCTAGACTTGCTGCCCTTGCCTTTCACTCTTAGGGGAACACTCTGGCATTGAATTCTCACCATATTACTTTGAAAAGGCTCCCACTTCTCGAATGTAGACTCATCTGCAAGTAGCTGTTCCCCGTCTACTAGCAGATCCTGCCTAATGATGATGTTTTTGTTTTGTTTTTTTTAAATTAACTGCTGCACACTTCTACACATGAAAAACCATCAACCTAAATATTCTTTCCACAGTTTGTGGTGGTGTCACAGGTAAACCATTGTATGTTTGTACTGAACATTGTTACTGTAGGTCTAATAATTCACGGTATACGATGTGATAACACATAATCATAAATCTTTATGAAATAAAACTGTTCACAATTAAATTGACAGAATGTTCATTACAATATCATTCCTTACATTTCACCCAAATTGCAGTCTCCTAAATTCCGATATCTTGCACCTAAATCCTTGACATTCATTTGCAATTATCTCAATTGTCCTGTTCTGGTAGCTGAGTATTCTTTTGTTGAAGTGTTTAAAGCTGTTCTCTCCCCTTTACAGCAACTCTATTCCCTTTCCGAATGTGTCTCCACTAATCGCTTTGCAGGCCCTCTCTCCAGTTTGCAGATTAAAGGACCAAGAGGAACCTGATCTGTCATTCAATGAGACCATGGTTAATCATTGACCACAATGCCACTTTTCTGTAAATATCTTCACATCCCCATCCCCTCTGATGTTATTAGTCTGCAGAAATCTACGAATGTCTGTCTTTAACCTGGCTCAACAACTGAGCTTCCACTGGGTTTCAGAAATCAAAAAATACCCAACCCCTTAACCTACATACACCCACCCAGTCACACCCTGTAAGAATTCTTTATGTTTCAAAGAGATTCCCTTTCATTCTTCTAAACCGTAGGAAATACAGACCCAGCCCCTCTCCTCATAAGATAATGCAGCCATCCATTTATTCTTCCTTAGGTAAGAGGATCAAAACTGGACACAACACTTCAGGTGAGATCTCACAGAAGGCTCTTATGTAGCAGGACATCTTTATTTTTGTATTCAAACCCCCTTAGGGATGACAACCATTTGCTTTTCAAATTGCTGCACCTTGCTTGCGAGCTTTGACTGACTCATGGACAGGGACACCCAGATCCTTTGGAACACCTACTCTCTTCCCGACCTCTCACCGGTTAACAAAATATTCTGCCTTGCTGTTGCTTACCTACCAATGTGAATAGCCTCATACCTGTTCACATTAGATTTCACCTCCATGTTCTAGCCCACTCACTCAGACTGTTCAAGTCGCCTCAAATCTTCCTCTCATTTCTAACACAACATCTGTTCACACTCAGTTAGGTCCCATCAACAAACTTGGAAATGTTACAATCTGTGCCCCTCACCTTGATATTTTCAATCAACCTGTTCAGGAATGTTATGACACATCTCTGGAGCAGGTAAGACTTGAACCCTGGCCTCTTGGCTCAAATGGAGGGACACTACCACTGCGCTACAAGAGCCATTTTTCCATATTATTTATAAAGACTGTGAACACTTGTAAATGTAACGCAGTATCACAGAGTCTGCAGTCCTGAAAATGAACCATTTATTGCTGCTCTCCGCGTTCTCTCTGTTAACTAATTGTCAATCCACACTCCTATAGTTCACTCAATCTCATACAGTCAGAGAGTCATAGAGATATACAGCACAGAAACAGACCTTTCAGTCCAACATGTCCATGCCGACCAGATATCCTGTATAAATCTAGTCCCATTTGCCAGCATTTGGCCCATATCCCTGTAAATTGTATCTATTCATATACCCATCCAGATGCCTTTTAAATGTTGTAATTGTACCAGCCTCCACCACTTCCTCTGGCAGCTCATTCCATACACGCAACACCGTCTACATGAAAAACTTGCCCCTTGGGCTCCTGTTAAATATTTCCCTTCTCACTTTAACCTATACCCTCTAGTTTTGGACACCCCAACCATTTTAGTTACTAACCTCCAGTGTGGGTCATTCACAAGTGCCTTCTGAGAATCCAAATACACCACATCCACTGGTTCTCCCTTTTCAATGCAGCAAGTAATATCCTCAGAAACGTTCCCGGTTCAGCTCTGCTAAGAATTTCATGTATGGAGTCAGGTTTCTGTCACAAAACTTTCAGAGTGACGTGTAGTTTCTCCTTCCTTCCCAGCTTGCCGCTGCGTTTTTGGGTGAATATCCTGAAGAACCCGCAGTTTGTTTTCGACGTGGAGAAGACTGACCATATGGACGCCTGCCTGTCTGTCATAGCCCAGGCATTCATTGACGCCTGCTCCATTTCTGACCTGCAGCTGGGCAAGGTAAAAACCCAGCTGAGCCAGCAACTCGGGAGGAATGACAGGCCGGAATGTAATCGAGGGGGTTATACAAAGAATAATAGATACCCGGGAGTGAGTTACAGACTGCAATCTAATCGAGAGGTTTGGAATGGTTTATATGAAGAATAACAGATAGCCGGGAATGAGTTACAGACTGCAATCTAATTGAGGGTTTGGAATGGTTTATATAAAGAATAACAGATGCCTGGGAATGAGTTACAGACTGGAATCTAATTGAGGTGTTTTGGGTGGTTTATATATGGAATAACAGATACCTGGGAATGAGTTAAAACTGAAATCTAATTGAGGTGTTTTGGGTGGTTTATATATGGAATAACAGATACCTGGGAGTGAGTTATAGACTGCAATTTAATAGAGGGGATCAGAGGTTTATATATGGAATAATACATACCTGGAAATGCATTATGGACTGGGATCTAATCAAGGGATTCGTGATGGTTTATATGGAGAATAAAAGTTACCCAGAAGAGAGTTATAGACTGGAATGTAATCAAAATAGAATGTGGAAAATGTCAGAATCTTTTATTAAAGACATTATATTAGGGCAGCTAAAAAAATAGTTCAAGGTAATCAGGCCCAATTCAACATGGTTTTGTTTAAGGGAAATTATATTTGACCAATTTACTGCAGTTCTTTGAGTAGGTAATACATGCTGTGGATAAGGGGGAACTGATGAGTGTACTGTATGTAGATTTCCAGAAAACATTTGATAAGATGCCACATTTAAGATTATTACAAAACATATATGCTTACATTTTGGTGGGTAGCATATTGACAAGATGACAGGAAATTTCAATAGTTTACAATTTCTATTCCAGTCTTGGATTACAGGATTGAAGGACTGGTTGCCAAATTTGCTGGAGGCACAAGGATGGATAGGAAAGTAATTTGTAAGGAGGACTTATGGAGAATTCAAGGTGATAGGTTAAGTGAGTAGGAAAGGTTATGGGGAAAGGGACAAAATCTCAGTAGGCTCTGAGTGACATGGTGAGTCAGGGGAATCTCAGCACCTGCTATTCAATGCTGTACCTCAGGCTAACCCTCATTGTAACACTGCAGTGTGCTCAGGGACACACACAGCTAGCTCATGGCCTGAAATAGGCTGTATTTCCAGGCTCTTCTCTCACTGCTATAGCATTCACTCTCATTTTGTGCTTTGCCGCCTCAGCTAGAGAAACAAAGCTAATATTACTTCTGTCCTACCTTCGCATTTAGCACATTCACAAAGGCTGAAGCTTGTCATGGTTGTTAGCTGGCCTCAGTGAAGGCAGAGGGGAATGCCTTCACTTGGGGTCCCACCCAGTAAATCAACAACAGGAACAAAAACAAAGTTGCTGGAAAAGCTCAGCAGGTCTGGCAGCATCTGTGGAGGAGAAAACGGAGTTAACGTTTCGGATCCGGTGACCCTTCCTCAGAACAGCAGCCTCTGATACCAGTCCAGGGGCTTTTGATTTGGCCAGTCCACCATACTTGGGGCAGCCTGGGACAAGGCACTCTCCATATAAGGGGTAAGGAGCTGAATATTGGGCAACCCACCATCCATCCTGACTCTATCAGCCCTATTAGCGGCCACTGTCCTCCTGGAATGAAAGAAGCAGATATTAAGGGAGATGAAGGTGGGTGGTACAGCTGGTACTGTTGGTGCAACTAGGGAGGTAAGTGAATGGCTGCACAGGGGGCATGCAGACTTAGTGGTATCGGAGGCTGGGGTGGGTTACAGGCAATTGTGAGAGTGGTAGAGTACGATCCTCATTGAGAGTCACGGAGAAAGACCGAGTGAGGGCGAGCAGAGAGAATATGGTGGCTCTTACGCTGGCAGAGTGGAGAAGGGCATTGAGCTTCATCCTACAGCACTGGGTATTCCTCCAGATGGTGAGACCTCTGCTGGTCCTAGGAAATGAGGAAATCCTGTCTTTGCACCACCCCATACAGCATTACTGCAAGCTTCCTGCCTGCACGATCTCAAGCCAATTTCATTTGCCCCCCTCCATCTGCCCTGTCCAAACAACTGGCAGAAGCCGAACGGGGCAGCTCCAGACTGAATGTGCATGTCCAGCTGTACACCAGGATTTAAATCAGAACGCCAGTGAATTCTGGGATCTCTGGCAAGCGATAAGTTGCACCAGGAATAGGGACAGCAATCAGATTAGAGACACTGTAGGTACTGAAACACCAACTGATGCAGCAAGTCAGGTAATAAGTGACGAGAAACTTCATGGTGAGGATCCCTTCACAAAACTCAACCTGACTCTCATTTAACCAAATAAAAAGCACCATAAGATTCAGCTCAGAGAGTATAACGTTGGAAATTGTCCGTCTTGGGATGAAGACTAAAAAAGGAAACGTATTGTCTGTAAAAGCATAGGGGTTGCAGAGCTCTGATGTGCAGAGAGATCGGGGTGTCCTACTGCGGGAGTTGCAGAAGGTTAGTATGCAAATGCAGCAAGTGATCAGGAAATTTCTGAAGAAGGGTCTAGGCCCAAAACGTCAGCCTTCCTACTCCTCTGATGCTGCTGGGCCTGCTGTGTTCATCCAGCTCTACACCTTGTTAGCTCATAGAATGTTATGTTTTATTGTGATGGGAATTGAATACAAGAGTAAGATGGTTATGCTTCAGTTATACAGAGCATTGGTGAGACACCACATCTGGCGTACTCTTTACAATCCTGGTCACCATATGTATGGAAGGATGTGAATATGTTGGAAGCAGTTTAGAGAATGTTTACTAGACTAAAACCTGGAATGGGTGGGTTGTGTTCTGAGGAAAGGCAAGACAGGCTAGGCATGTAACCTTTGGGGTTTAGAAGAGTCAGAAGTGATTTGATAGGATTTTGTATGTTTTGGAGGGATCTTCACTGGGTGGATGTGGAGAGGATGTTATGGGAGGCTCGAAAATTCAGGGTCACTGTTTAAAAATAAGGGGTTGCACAATGAAGTCAGAGATAAGGAGCAATTTTCTCTTAGAGAGTCATGAGTCCTTCGAAAGCTTTTTGTCAAAAGGCAGTGGCAATATTGTTAAGGCAGAAATGGATAGATTCATGACAAGCAAGGAGGTGAAAGGTTATCAGGGGCTGGCCAGGAATATGGAGTCCTCAGATCAGCCAGTACCTTCTTAAACAGTGGTGCTTGAGGGGCTGATAGCCTACTCCTGATTTATATGCTCATATGTCCTGGCAAAATGGGATCATGAAGCAGAATCTAGTGTTGTCTTTTTTTCCTTTAGGATTCACCAACAAATAAACTCTTATATGCAAAAGAAATCCCAGAGTACAAGAAAGCTGTGCAGAGATATTACAGAGAGATCCAGGAAATGATCACACTGAGTGAACAGGAAATGAATGCTCACCTGGCAGAGGAGTCCCGGGTAAGCAGCAGAGACTAAGAGGAAGGTCGTAGAGGAAGCTTTACCTTGTATCTAACCCTGTGCTGTCCATCTCCTGTGAGTAATTGATGGGGAGACAGTGTAGAGGGAGCTTTACTCAGTACCTAATCCCATGCTGCCCCTGTCCCGGGAATGTTTGATGGGGACAATGTACAGGGAGCTTTACTCTGTATCTAACCCCATGCTGTCCCTGTCCCGGGAATGTTTGATGGGGGACAGTGTAGAGGGAGTTTTACTCTGTGTCTAACCCCATGCTGTCCCTGTCCCGGGAATGTTTGATGGGGGACAGTGTAGAGAGAGCTTTACTCTGTACTTAACCCCATGCTGTCCCCGTCCTGCGGAGTGTTTGACGGGGAGACAGTGTAGAGGGAGCTTTACTCTGTACCTGACCTCGTGCTGCCCCTGTCCTGGGAGTGTTTGATGGGGAGAGCGCCACTGGAGCTCTGTATTTGGTGCAGGAACAATGAATATGGTGAATGTGTCTTGTTCCTCTGTGTTGAAGTCTGTCTATTGATGAACTGAATCAACAAGAAAAGTTGGCCTTGCATTGTGTCAGTAAAACGTAGCAAAACAGGGTTTCTGAAATCGGAGCATTCTCTTTTTATCTTGTCTACAGAAATACCAAAATGAGTTCAACAATAATTTTGCCATGGCTGAAATCTACAAATATGCTAAGAGATATCGCTGCCAGGTGGGTCTAATGTATCTGTCAGTTCCTGCTGTTTCTGTTTTGCAGAAGTTGGTGGCTGTAAACGTGACAGGTCACGTAACTAATCAGAGCCCAGTACATAGCCTTCTGTCCCTACCTACAAGCCCTGCCGTCACTCCTTCCCTAACATGTAGACAAGGCATGTAGGCGCACCCACAAATACTCCCCTCTCATTGTTCTCATCAGTACGAACTCAGGCTCGGATACAGTCAGGCACATTAGCCCTCAGGGAGACACACATTCACTGGGACACAGACTCGCACACACTCAAGCTGAGTCCTCCCTTACTCGCACACATGCACTGACATAGGACCATATGAATTAGGATGGGAAACAGGCCAGTCGGCCTTTTGAACTTGCATTGTCCTTCCATAGATCATGGTAGCTCTGATCTCTATTTTCCTCCCAGTTCCCATAAGCCTTGAGAGTTTAAGTCAGCCTTGAACGCAGCCTGCGCTGGGCTTTGGTTAGAGGATTAAAAAGTCTAAGGAGTGGAGTTCAAATGCAGCAAGTTTTATCACCGGGTTTCCCCCAGTATGCTGGAATGAGGAGCAAAATACCAAACAAAGTGTGTGCCCCAAACCCTCTATCCATCTGCTGCTGCAGCTCCTCCTGCTGGCAGATACTGTACATCACATGTCGATCTTACACCATCCATGGTCACCTCTTCCACCCTCACCCCATCCTCCCTCACCCCTATCCTCCCTCACTCCCTTTCCCTCAACCCTCCTCCCTCACACCATCAACTATCAATCCCTCCTCCCTCGCCCCATCCTCCCTCACTCCCCTTCACCCCTCACCCCCTTCCCCTCACATAGAACATAGAACATAGAACATTACAGCGCAGTACAGGCCCTTCGGCCCTCGATGTTGCGCCGACCTGTGAAACCAATCTGAAGCCCACCTAACCCAAACTATTCCATTATCATCCATATGTTTATCCAATGACCATTTAAATGCCCTTAAAGTTGGCGAGTCTACTACTTTTGCAGGCAGGGCATTCCACGCCCTTACTACTCTCTGAGTAAAGAACCTACCTCTGACATCTGTCCTATATCTATCACCCCTCAATTTAAAGCTATGTCCCCTCGTGCTAGCCATCACCATCCGAGGAAAAAGGCTCCCACTGTCCGCCCTATCTAATCCTCTGATCATCTTGTATGTCTCTATTAAGTCACCTCTTAACCTTCTTCTCTCTAACGAAAACAGCCTCAAGTCCCTCAGGCTTTCCTCATAAGACCTTCCCTCCATACCAGGCAACATCCTGGTAAATCTCCTCTGCACCCTTTCCAATGCTTCCACATCCTTCCTATAATGCGGTGACCAGAACTGTA